TATATATATATATATATATATATAAGCTAATAGTGTGTTAAAATTTGCATTATATGGTTAAGGTATTAGTATTTGTTTTTCTTGACAGAGAAAGCACCTATAGTTTCTGTGCACTGCAGCTCAGCTGGCTGAAAGAAGCATATAAGATTTTTCCCTTTCTAAGAAAACATCAGTTTTTTTTTTTTGTAATTTTGAGTCTTTGAGGCAGAAAAAAAGTACCTGGCAGCATCATGCTGCGGGGTTTTTAGGGTGGAGGAGCTGATTATGTTTTTTTTTCTATAATTCTAATTCTGGTTAAAACTAAATCATAGATGAATAAATGATAACTTGGTGTAATTAATTTAGTAACTAATGTCGTAGATAAAAGCAGTCGGATAATTTTTTTTTCTTAAATTATGGGTGAATATTCCCTAACAGTATCGGAGCATGAGGCTCTCATAGCAGGCCTTGGGTAGAGTGATAGAAGTGGTAGAGCAGGCTTGTTTTTTAACGTGAATAATCAGATTTCAGTTTGTTCCTTTAACTTTGACCTTCGAGCAGCTTAAGATCTTACATCTGCTGTGTGCGAGTGTAACAGTGACAGTAGCAATAATCCCCCTCATTATACACAGAACATATTGCCTCACATCTCTGGCGGACCTCCAGTACAGTTAATAGGGACAGAGGGATAATAGGGAGCGAAGAAAAAGTGCCGCCTTTATTTATCTAAATGCGGACCCTCAAATGAACAAAGAGAGCCGGGCTGCCGCCAGGGTGCCTCCGCTTCTCCCAGAGGGGCCGTGTAAATAAATTATCCTGACACTTTCTATCACTCCGTAATGTTTACCATTAAAAGCTGCTTCACCGTCCCGGAGCCATCGGCGTGCGATGTCGCCGGCCCCCGCGGGACTTGTGTTAGTCGTAAGGGAAATATTTATTTGATTTCTTTTTATTTTTTTTTTTTTTTTTCACACTCAGACATGGAAGGGAAGCCTCGGCTGTGTCCGTATCAGTACATTTCTACTGTCGTAGCATCCTGACAAAGCCCCCCCCCCGCTTCAAACCAAATCCAGGCAGGGTTGTCATCTTTTAGCAAATATGTTAAGTGTTATCTTTTGTGCTCTCGGCTCGCCGAGCCGAACTCGGACCCCATGGGAGCCCGGCGCATGCAAATAGAACAAATCCCTCTCGGAGCTGCCCGTCTGTTTCCCCTCTCCTCCATCTCTCCCCCCCACCACCCTCCTTGCTGCCCCATCTATTTCTTTTTTTTTTCTCCATGTTTGCTGGAGAGTGCGTCAGCCTGTCTTGTCTCCTCGCCGTTTCCCTCTTTGTCCACTTATTTCCCCCTCTCTCCATCCCAGAAGAGACAGAGACTGGGCTTTGTGTCAGCTAACTGTAGCGTTAGACCCCCCCCCCCTCACTGGTTTAAGTTCTCCCTCCCAGAGATGGCAAGCAGCTGTCGGTAACGCTGCTGCCTTTGCTTCCTTCCTAGATGAGCGAACGCCAATTCCTGAAAATCCTTGACACTTTGCTCCTCTCTCCTTGCTACACTAGGTTTTTATTTGGTTTCCTGTGGGGGGGGGTTGTTTACCATGACAGTCTCCTTTTTCCCTTCTCTTTAAACCGTTTCCACACAGCCCTCTGAATTTGATTCATTGCTCCTTCACCACTCTCTCTCTCTCTCTCTCTCTCTCTCTCTCAGTGCTGACAGGTCAAAATCTGATGGCTGTACTTAAAGCTCAGGGTATCTGCACCGGTTTGAATCCAGGATGAAATAATGCCTTCGATTGGCGCTTCTACAATTGAGAAATCAGACTTTTTAAGTTATTGTTGTGGAAATACGTCTATAACATAGAAAACAATTGTAGAAATTAATAAAAATAAAAATTAAAAAGCAGAGGTACAGGACCAGTGGAGGTTTTCGATTATTTCTGATCCTCAGATTCCCACATCTCCTCCATCCATCCTCCGCTCCAACTACAGAATTCATTCCCATGTTAATTTCCGCCCAATAAAAGCATTATCTGCCTCTGTTTGAACTCCTGATTCCCTCCGAAAGGTTTAAAGTCTCCCGTTTTATGTAACCTGTAAATTTCGTCGGGTTTTAATCAAATCAAAGCGGTGGATAATATTTTTTATTTTTTTTTTCTCCTTCCCTCCTACCTTCTTTAGCGAAGAGCTTGCCCTCTCTTCTGAATTTTAAACAGACCCCCGCTCACCTCCCTTTTTGCTCTTCAGCAGCAATCTTCACCACCCATGGCCCGGATTCCCTGGTAGATATTAAAACATTCAGCTGGTGGAAGTGTTAAATATGCTAAGGACTTATTAAAAAAAAAAGAAAAGAAAAATATCTTAACAGGGTGGAATATTTCACGCCATTAGTCCTCAATAGACACGGCAGCTAAGAGCTTTATACTTTACATTGTGGCTTAAAATGAGAGGGAGCCTTTCTAATTAGGTTATTGCCATGCACGTCTGAAGTTAAATTGTACATTGATATGCGTAGGAGCTCGCCGGTCATTTGGCCCGGCGACGAAAGAGGCCGTCGAGAGTCCCCATCTCTCTCTCTCTTTTTTTTTTTTCTTTTTGAAAAAGACGCAGAGCAAAAAAGACGGAAAGCAAGATGACTGTAATCTCGGCTGCTCTTCTTAGCGGCTCTGGAGAAACTGATGAACAGGGAGCTTCGGAGAGAAACTGGCCGTCTGCTGATGCATCAGATGTAGAAAGGAAAGAGCTGGTCACTCTGTGTTTTTCTGTTTCCTTAGAGCCAAAAGTGACTTTTTACTGTCTGTTTCAGCTTCTAACCTGAGCAGCTGCTTTTAGCCGTTTGACGTCAGGCGATCTTTGTCATTTAGACTAAAACTCACAAAAGAAATGAGCAGAAATGAATTTAGCCTAAAATTAGTTCAGTTTTCTGCTCTGGATCTCTTGACGTAGACCTATTTGTTTTAAAGAGGATTTTTTTCACTTTCTT